TGGGGGGGGGGGGGGGGTGTTCAGCCCCTATCTCCCCTAGGACTTGGGCCACAGCCAACCCTGTCTCCCCAGCAGTAAGCATCTGTCTATTCTTGATTTGGGGCCCACAGTCTTGAAATGAGCCCTCTGAGGACAGCAGTGCTCACAAGGGATAAATATAACTTTATTTTAAATAAACATTTGCACTCTGTACACAGCCCCAGAGGAAGAGGGGCTCAGTCATCAGCTGTCTTGCGCACGTCAAAGCTGCCACAAGGTCCTCGCAGCAGTTCTGCCAGCAGCGCGAGCAGCTGCCCGTGCTCCTGCTGTACACTGAGAGGAAGTGCGGCCAGTTCGCTGCGAAGGCTCCGCTCCACCATGCGGCCCAGGGCTCGCCGCAGCTCCCTCAGCAGCCGCACAGTTCGTGAGTCGCCTTCCAGCCGCAGCAGGTCACTGTCACTCAGTGAGATGGTAGCCCGACGCCCATCATCTGGGAGAAGGACAAAGATAGGGAGTCTATGTGGGGCCAGGCCCCAGTGAATAAGAAGTAGCCCTCAGAGTGGAGGGCTTATGAGGTACCCACCTCGGATGTGAACGTCCCCATCAGTTAGGAGCAGCACAGCTAGCGGGTGCACCTGGGAGGAATCTCGCACAAAGACGCTGCCATTGGACTTAACAGCCATGAAATATGTCAGCCATCGGCTCCGTAACCGGGTAGCCTCCCTAGGGAACACAGAATGCTGGAAGAAGCTACTCCTCTGGCCCTTCCCTGCTCCATATTCAATCCTACATGCTGCCCACCTGTTAATAGTTGACTTGTGCAGCAAGATATTGCCAGATTTGGTCCTGTAAGTGACACTGTTGGGCTTGAACTTCCCCTGCCGAGTCACCTTACCCTGCCTCACCTGAAGGGACAGAGCAAAAGATGAGCAAGGAGCTGGGGATGGGAGGTGGGGGCATAGGACCTGGTCCACTCCCACTCCTAGAGGAAGCACCTGGATGAGGTTGGGGTAGAGGCCAGCCATCAGCACACCCTTCACCAGTTCCTCTTCCTCACTGTACTCGTTGCACTGGGCAGAAGGCAGTGTGCAGTCTGAGGGCTTTCCCACTAGAAAAGCCTCGTAAATATTCTCTGAGAACTGCTTGATAAGCCCTGGGAAAGCAAAGTGCAGTGAGAACAGGCCCTGCCTCAAAGCTGGGGATGAGAGGAGCTCTGTGGGTGGGAGGGACTCAGGAGACCCTCAGGGAGTCAGGCTGACCGTGGATGAAGCGCAAGCTGGGGGCATAGAGCAGGTTTTCTTCCAGGTAGTTTTCCCGGGAGGTGCGGTCCTGCCAACGCAGCACCTCCTCCCAACCAGCGACGGCCCGCACAAAGGCCAAGTGGTCACTGCCACTGTCATGGCTCAGCAGAGCCTTTACCTGGGAGAGGAGAATGTACAATGGTCATGAGGGTGACTAGAGCCCACCTCCGGACAACAGATGGAGTATGGATAGACAGCAAGAGGACTACAAGGACTGGGTCTAACCTTGTCCACCTCTGCCCGGTTCTGCAAACTGCTGCTGAAAGGGTCCCGGGTGAGGCAGGAAACAACCACCAGCAACGGGTGTAGGCAACGGAAGATGGCAGCCAGCACTATGGCCTTGGCCAGCCGGGGGTCAGTAGAGATGTGGGCCAGGCGCTGCCCCAAGGTGGTCAGGTACTCCCGCTGGTCCAGCACCCCTGCAACAGCTCAGCTGTCAGTCCCACCCACGAGCCACTTCATAGCCCAACCCTATCTAGCCCCACTCACCGATCTCCTGAAGCAGTATCACAGCCTCATCCACTGCCTTGATGTTGGGACTGTCCACAGCCTTGGAAAGGAACTCCACTGCCTACAGCAAGAATAACCTCCATAAGCCCACGTTCTACTTGCCTCTTCTTGGGGCCTATCCTTGCTCAGCCCTGCCTCTGCCTCACCGTCTTCTCAGGCATATGGATTTTAGCTTGCAGCACCAGGTTCTCCAGAGGCGTGCGCAGGATCTCTGGCACTTGGAAAGGGACCATTTTCTCCAGTCGACTCCGTGGAAACAAGTGGTAGGCAAAACCTGACTGGCAGCGGCCTGCTCGGCCCCGGCGCTGGATCACATTTGCTCTTGACACCCACACAGTCTCTAAGCATGACACCTGAGGAAGGCAAAATAAAGTCACTGCAGGCCTTCTCAGCATTTCCCCAATCCCCCACCCCACAAGAGGAGTACAGATCCAAGTTTGGCCTTCACACAAAAAGCAAGCCTGTGGGAAATTGGGACTATAGGCCATCTCAAACCAAAGTTCTCCCCCCTATAGGCTGGTTGGGCCCAAGACAGAGGGGCCACCACCTTGGTCTTGAGGTCATAGCGTTCCTCCTTGTGCAGGCCGCTGTCCACAACATGCACAATGTCATTAACTGTGATGGAGGTCTCTGCAATGTTGGTGGCCAGTACAATCTTGCGCACCCCAAGTGGAGGCTGCTGGAATATGGCCTTTTGGTCCATCATGGGGATGTTGGAGTGCACTGGTGGGAAGCAAGATGCAAAAGGGCTACAAAACTGTCTTGGGCTGAAGCCAGGGCAAGGATTTTGATCCCTCCACCTCACCCCCAGCCCTCATGAAACTGGTAAGTCACATTCCCAATGAAAATGGTAGGACATGGTCAGAAACCTGAGCCATTTCAGTCCAAGTTGGATCAGTCCATACAATAGAAGTGAAAACTAGTTTGTAAGACCCATCACTCCACAACCGGGCTCTCACCTGGCAGGATGAGGTACTTGCTCTCGTGCATGCCCAGGGCCTCCTGGAGGCGTTGTTGCACTCCTTTGATCTCCTGCCAACCAGGCAAGAAGCACAGGATCCCACCTGTAAAGGGGCCCTGCAACCATGAGCTGATTGGTTCAGCAAATTGGGAAGGGGACGGCTGGGAAATGGGGGACAAGTACCCACCTGGTTCCCCACGGGCATCGATGTGCAGAACCAGATCAGTCACCAGGTCCAAATCAAGTGCACATTCATCTTCAGACTGGGATAGAAGAAGAGAGACCAGTCCCAGTCCCAGGGTAAGGGATTATACACAAGATATGGCAATGGTACCAGAGTGAAGCAGAGCTACTTGGTGTGTCAGCTTTAGCCCTCACACACTTGTCATATGGGCATTGTTACATTGTTATTCCCCAGTTCCTTGTTTTTTTCGTTTTTGTTTTTTTTCCTGTCTTTTTTGAGACATGGTCTCCCTGTTGCCCTAGCTGGAACTTAGTATGTAGACCAGGCTGGCCTTGAACTCAAAAGAGAGCTGCTTGCCTCTGCCTGGGATTAAAGGCATGCAATACCACGCCTGGCTACTGCCCAGATTTTATCAAGGAGACAGACTTGGCAAAGTAACCTGTCCTAGGCCACCAAGTCATGGGAACAGGGAAGAGGGCCCTGGGGGTTGGGCACCCTCACCTCATGGTGCCGGTGCCGGTGCGGGTACTGGTGTTTACCCAGCTTGGCCAGGATGTCCTCCAGGTAGTGCTCTTTGACAGGATACATAAAGCCAGGCACCTTGATGACAGGACAGCCACCAAAGTAGCGGGAGAAGCGCTCATTATCACCTGTAGCACTCATGAGCACTAGCCGTAGAGCTGGGTTGAGCCGCTGCAGGCCCTTGAGCAGGATCAACAGGAAGTCTGTGTTCACATCCCGCTCATGGACCTCATCCACAATGACATGGCTCACGCCCTCCAGGCTGGGATTGCTCTGCAGCTTCCTCAGCAGTATACCCACAGTGCAGAAGAGCAGCGCCCCACCTCGGGCTGGGGGCTTGCT